TTCTATTCATTCTTGGGGTATCTGGGTAGCTAAGACAGTTGAGCATCTGACTTCGGCTCAGGTCATTGATCTCACAGTTCGTGGGTTCGAGCCCCACACTGGGCTCTGTGCTGACAGTTCAGAAACTGGAGCTTGTTTTGGATTCTGTATCTCTGTCTCTCTGCACCTCCCTTGCTTGCACTCTGTCTCTCTCTCTCAAAAATAATAATAAACATAAAAAAAATTCTATTAATTCTTCAAAATCCTGCTTAGGGGCCAACACCTCTATGAAGCTTTCTCTGACCTGCTCCTCAAAGTAATCATTCCCTTCTCTGTAATATTTCTTTACTTTTATATTTATTTTTGTTATTGAATGGATTCCATTAAAATTCTCTGTTAACCCTTGTGCCCAGCCACCTATAATCATGATTTCAACATTCTGAAAGTCAATCCCTAACAAAACCACAGGACCAGGCACACAAAAGATAATTTCACTGAATTTTTAAAAAATATTTATATTCCCTAAGCACACAGCTATCTATGCAAAGAAATATATGTCTTAAAGAGAATGCACAGCAAAAGAAAATGCAAAGTGCACTACAGATAACCCCCCATTCCCATAATGCAAATGTGAATAAACAATGATTATTAACAGTTCAATTTTATTTCATTAGAAACCGATTTTGTTCAGGAAACATACTGGTTTAAGTGTTTAAGAAACATACTGGTTAAAGTGTTGATTAAAAAGAATCAGGATATACCAGGGATTTAATTAAGTAAAGTCTTTCTAAAAACAAATAGCCTAAACTGTAAACAGCAGGATTTCTAAATGGTTGGTACTCTCAGGCTCTTCCCCCAAAGTTCTGAGGACTACTGCCACTGTGATCTCATTCCTCTAGACAGTGACCCCTGTAGGGTCAAGAAAACTGGGAGCAGTAGCCCTATCTCAGTCCTGGGAACCACAATTAGGGCACTCCAAAACTGACACCTGTATAAAATCCTCAATCAAGAACAATCAAATATATTCCTTTAATAAAATTATAATCATCTCCCATTAACACTATCAACCAGTTTAGCCTATCAAAAAAAGGAAATTAATGTGAGGTAGATATAATTAGCATGGCCTCCTTGAAATATAACTTAGATTTAAAAAAACAGATTGAGAGGCACTTGGATGGTTCAGCAGGTTGAGCGATTGACTCAATTTAGGCTCAGGTCATGATCTGAACCCTTTTGTAGGTTCATGGGATCGAATCCCTGGTCAGGCTCCCCACTAATAGTGCAGAGCCTGCTTAGGATTTTCCCTCTCTTTGCTTCTCCCTCAGTTGTGCTCTCTCTCTCTTAAAATAAGTAAACTTTAAAAAAATTAAAAATAAAGTAAAAAAACAGATTGGGCATAAGATGAAATGGCACTGAGTATTACTGATTTAGTACCTAGTGAAAAAATGTTTAATGTATTATTTCATATTCTGTTCAAGGTAACACCACTAAGCAATACCTTTCACTTTGGCTTCTTATAAAGTTCACAACCAACGATTGCCAAGTACATACCAAAACCCTGCTCCCAACATGCTTACTGCAAACAAACCACAAAAATTTAATGGGTATGTCCTAAATTCCACTTTTTCTTCATAGCTAAGCACTGCTTCCCTAATCCAACCTGCACCTAATTTCGGCAAAAAGTACAAGTACTGAGTGTATTTTCATTTGCTCCGATATGCTTTGGGTTAATTTCCAGGTTCTTGCTCTTAGTCCACAGAGTGAAGCCACTAAATTGGTAGCTTATAGATAAGTTTGTTACAGTCATGCATGACAATTAAGAATATCTCCCATTAATTAGGGGCGCCTGGCTGGTTCCGTGGGTAGAGCACACAACTCTTGATCCCGGGGTTACGAGTGAGTTTGGGCGACCCGATGGCTGTAAGGTTTACTTAAAATAAAGTAAACTTAAAAAAAAAAAAAAAGATTTCAATTTCCCATAACGTTTCTCTAATACTCCTATAGCTGCAGGTCGAATGTATTAAACTGAGGATTCAGGTTACAATCACAAGCACCGTTACTACATAAAGAAACAGACAATACTGAATGATGTAGAAAAAAGTCACTCGCTGGCTTTTCGGTAAAAGAAAAACGATCTTTAATGAGCGCTTCCAATGAAAGCCGTAGCACCCACTCAATCGTAAAATCTGACTGAGGTAAGAGTAAAAAAAAAATCTAAAAGAAGCTGAGAGAAAAGACAAGTGAACCAGTCATCTGTGTCGTTACTGCTCAATATCTACTAAGCTCTCAAAACGCTAGAGATCTGACAAAAATTCTGAAAGACGGCTGCTCCAAAGAACTACGGCAAGACACCAAAATTCAAACCCCTTCTCATTCACTTTTCAACAGCTAGCGGGGAGGAGGAGGAGGAGGAGCACTTTCTTCAAAAAGTAATCCACGATACCTCATTCACGAACGAAAGCCAAATTTCACCCAGAGGCTGTCAACCGAGGCTCCAAAACTTATTCGCGCAAAGTACACGGAGAAAGAAACACGGCTGGGCGAGACCTAACTCGGGCAGACGAGCGTCTTCCAAACCTGAAAGGAAAAACACAGCGAGTCCGGTCGTGGCTCCAGAAATTTCCGAGCTCCCGGCGACCGAGCGCGATGCCCGCGGCGGGGAGGGGGCGACGGCACCTGTCACTCGGCGGCCCCGCCACCGCGGCAGCCCCCGGGCCCGGGCCCGGCGGAGTGTGTGGCGGCGCGGGCACGGCCCGGGCGCCGGGGCCTGGGGAGGCGCGGGTACCTCTCGTCCGCCCCGAGCCCTGCGCCGAGCGGCGGGGCCGCGGCCCTTCCCGAGGAGCGGCCCTCCCGCGCCCTCTGCCCAGCGGCTCCGGCCAGCGGGGCCCGTCGCCTCAGGCCGAGTCCCCAAGCGCCGAGCCTGAGGCGCACGGAGCGGCACTGCCGAGGCGCCACCACCGCCTCAGGGGGGCCGGAGCGGTACCGCGCGAGGCGGGCCCGCCCTCCGCGTACTCACCGGGCCTCCCCGGCCGCCGGCTCGGCCCTCCTCTCCCTCCTCCCCCGGCCGCCGCCGCCGCTCCCGCGGCTCCTGGGGCGGCCGCACTGGGCGTTGGGACTAGGCTGGGTCAAGGGGCGGGGGCGGACTCGCGCGGGGCAGGGGTCGTGCGGCGGCCCCGCGAGTGGGCGCCGGGCACTAACGGGCCCCGCGAGCGGGCGCCGGGCTGGGCAAGCTGGGCGGCCCGCGGAGGGGAGCGCGGCTGCAGGCTGCGGTGAGGGGCGGGGAGAGCGCGGTTGCGAGCCGAGGGCGGGAGGGAAGTCCCGGCGGAGGGGGCGGCGTGAGAGCCGCGGGGCGGAGCGGGGGCGGGGCCAGGCGCGCCCGCCGCCGCGCGCGGGGGTTTGTTTATTTTCTCGGTTGGTTGCGGCGTTGGCGCGTGGGTAGAGGTTCGCGGGTGACGTGAGCGGCCAGAGTTGGGGGAGAGAACCAGAACCACCTGCTGGAGAAGGGGAGCTACGGGGGCCGGGCAGGGTCCAAACGGCTCGCGTAGGCGGTGGCGCCGCGGTCCTCGGGGTTACGGGGAAGAGAAGGGCTTTCCCTGGGTGTGTGGTAGGAGGGAGGCCTCCCGAGAGAAAAGCGCTCCAGGCCATTCCCCCGCAGTCGGGCAGCCTCACCTGCGTCGCGGAGAACAGTCTGGAGGCCTTGGAGTAGAAGAGGGTCGTGGGACCTGGTGGCCCGGGTTCCACCCACAGTTAGCGAAGTGGGGATGGTTCTGCAAATCAAAATTTCAGTAACAAGACTGCATCCGCTCTCCCGTGAGGAAAATAACCAACGTTGCTCAGTTCTCTGTAGACTTACACAGCACTTTAGCGTTCTCTGTCTGGGTGCTCCATCAGGTAGTAGGATTCTCATTTTACAAGCCAAGTAACTCACCCAGAGTTTCACCGTTAATGTCAAAGCCAGAACCCAGCTGTACTGATTTCAAATTCTGTAGTGCTGACCATCGATCCCAGTATCTCCCTAAATCACTTGGTTTACCTAATAGTAGACGCACACTCCCATAGGTCACATCTGCAGAGTTAGGGGCCTGGGGACGCACATTGTCAGGGAAGCTAAAGATGTTATCCTTGCCTTCGGAGACTTAAGGAATAACATAAAGATAAAACAGTTGTAATAAAAGACAAACTGTGATAGGTGCCATATGAAAAACACAAAGAGCACTGAAGATCAAAATATTACTGTCTGGGGAATCAGGAAAGAAAGGCAGCATGGAGGAGGAAGCATTTGGGATTGACCTTGGAGGAGATGGGAATGATTTTACAGCAAGAAGGGATAGCATGAGAACATATATGAAGACTGATCGATGAAAGTCATGGTCAGGAAAAAGCAAATGGTTAAACTACAGGACATGTTGAGAAGTGGCAGAGACAAACTGGAATGGGGCCCTATGCCAAGTGGGAGAATTTGTATTTAATACAGTACTTCGAGTTTTTCCTGGTTTAAAAACCTTGCTTTTCTTTGACATCTCTGTGAATGGATACAGGAATCAGAGGTGGGAAAACTGCCAGACAGACCTGCAATAGGCCAGTCTGAACTAAACGTAAGGCAGGAAGGATTTAAAAGAGCTTTGTTGGAAGATGATGTGGAAGCAGCATCCATGGAATTTGGCAATTGAGTAATGGTTTTACAGCAAGAGAGGATAGCATAAGCACATATATGAAGGTGGAAAAGAAAAATCAAAAATAGTGGAGGCTTTGAGTTTAGATAATTGCAGAAGAGATAGAAGAACTGCTTTTCGAGAGATCAGTTGAGATTTGGACACTTTTAAGAGTTTGAAAGATTGTTGAGACAGCCAGATAGAGGTGGATAATAATAAGTTAGAAATAAAAGCTTTGAAATATAGCAAAGAGAGTTGAACTAGAAAATAGATTGGTAAGTTAGCAGCCTAGCAGTGATATCACTGTGAGAGAAAAGAAGAAAACAAAGGGTAGAATCTTGGAGAACATCTTCAATTAGAACTTTGCTACGCGAAGTGCGGTCAGTGGCCCAGCAGTACTGGCGTAACCAGGGAGTTTGTTAGAAAGGTACAATCTCAGCCCCCCTCACCCTCAAAACGTGCTACAAAAACCCTGATTGCTTTGTATCACATCACAGTTTGAGAAACTCTGACTTACATAAAAGAAGCCAACAAATAAGAGATCTAATCTAGATGAGAGAAACCAGCAAAAAGAGAGGGAAGAGGATCCAGGAGGGGAAGCAGGATTAATGCAGAATCACCAAAGCGAGGTAAATTGGAGTTTCATAAAGGCAGGGGCAGGTAGAAATATTTATCAACAATAGTTAATACCACAGAGGTTAAAGTACACAAGGAAAGAAGGTATACTTGAATTTTGTAATTGGGTGGTATGATCCTCTGACTGACCATGTTGTTCCAATCAAAAGCTTGGAAATTGCTCCTTTGTGATAGGGGATGACAGCCTAGAAATATAATCCCACTCCCCGCCCAGTCCTCACATATATGGGACATATGGAAGTAGGCTTGTAGGCTTAGTAGGATTTGATAGAAATTCTTTTCTAGCTGTTTCTATTTTCTCTGTGAACTAAGAAGCAAGATCATTCTGGCAGACTGCTAATTGTCCATCACGGACTCTTCTCCCCTTCTTCCTGGGCACACAGACTATTTTTCTCAGCTTTTCTTCCAGGTAGTATGACTGTCAAGTTGTTGCTAGTGGAAAGTGAGCAGAAATGATGCCTGCCACTGCCAGGCCAGCGGGTCTCCATGCATTCTTCCTTTCTGCCAGCTGGATTGTGCAGATGACTACGAGCTGCTGGGGTTGACAGAGCCACCAGAAGGAAGGTGCCCGGATGAAGGAGAGCTGCCCACTGACCAGGAACACCCGCTGCCAATTATTATGTGAGCAAGATATAAATTTCTCTATTAAGTTGGAGCTGTAACATTTTGGGGTCTATTTAGCCGCCTCTAGCTAATGTAGTCTATAACTGAGGGGGAATTGGGAAAGGGGAGGAAAGGTGAAATAGTCTGACCGTGGGAGAGACGATCAACTAGGGAAGCATAGTAGGGTTTTCAGGCACTATTAAGGGCCCACCCGTGTGAGTGGATGTGAACTCACAGTCAGACCAGTCAATATGATTGTGCATTTTCCTCCAGTCATATTCTGTTGCTTATGTGCAAACACTGAGTAGGTGGTTTGGGATTAACCAGGAAGGAGATGTGGCCAGGCAAGTATAAATGGGGAGTGATAGGCAAAGAGGCTGAGGGTAGAAGCCAAGGAGGCATCATAATTTCAGACGCGTTAAGAGGTAAGGGTGTGAGAGGGGTAGGGAAAAGCTCAAAGATGATAGGGTGACTAGACTTGTGTTTCTGATCAGGTTGAGGAATGGACTTTTGGTACCTGAAAAGATAAGAGATGGGTTGGAGAGTAGGAGGCTTGACATTAAAATTAGAGGTGGGACTACAGTTGTCAGCAATGTCAAAGTGTAGGGAATGATCATGTGAGTGGATTGCTGACATTGCACAGGGCATAAGATAATTTGAAGATAGCTGGTCAAGGAATTGAAAGACAGGAAGGGTTTGAATGCATTTATCTCACAAAGAATTATCAAAGGACTGTTAGTAATGGTGGAGTAGTGAATAGCCTTGGAGAGAGTGGTGCCAAAATCTTCGAAGAATGAGGGGTTGAATTCCCTGAATTCGGGTGTTCAAGGCCATCAGTGCTTTAGTGTGTTAAACTCTTGCAAAGATCATGTTTCATTTAAACAGGCACTTTAAAGTTTTGTGTTAGCAATGTGGGATTTGTGATTGCTTCTCTTTGACCTCTCAGATTACAGATGGTAACTGCTTTCTTTAAGAGGAAATGCCCATCTGTCTGTATTATAAAACAAACACATGCCAGGCTTCCCAGTTTAAATGAATGCTTTAAAATTTGTCATAAACTACTCTGTTCTACCTCCAACATATATCCTCAAATAGATACATCAAATGTGATGCTAGCTAACTATGCTACATCAAATAATGCAATGTGAATGTTCAAAATCTACATGAAAAACCTTAGGTATAACTTAACAATAAACAGGGATTGACTAGAGACCTAACAAATTGAAAATAACAAGATTTCCTCTAGTTTAGAAAATGACGCACCACATTATGTACATACGGGCTCTGAAGTCAGACTGCTGGGGGTTGAATCACAACACCCATCTCATGAGGTTTTTCTGAGGATAGCATGTGTAATATTTACAGTACATATAAGCATTTAGAAGACTGCTTAGCACACCCCTCAATAAAAGTTATAGTCATTGTATCTAATTCTTATGGAATTGCCTATAACTATACTTGGACTTTTCCAACTTAGAAAATATATTCATTACATCTATACATGTTAAGACTTAACGGCAAGGAGACTTCTGGTTAAACACGGTGCATGGAACACATCTTTTTCTCCACTTACTCCAGACACCTCATTAAAATGACAGTGAAGCAGGGACTCCTGGCTGGCTCAGTTGGTAGAATATGTGACTCTTGATCTCAGGGTTGTAAGTTTGAGCTCAACTAACTTACCAAAACTGAGAAAATTAATACCTAGGCCTTTGTGGGGGGAGGGGTAGAGCCAGCCAGAGTGGACCCATTCACATCGCAGACTCTGATGTGGAAAGGCTCTGAAACTAGAGCTGCCGTAACTCTGAAAGCAGAGGTGAAATAGAGCTGAAAACTGAAATTTATTGTGAAAGTTATATAAAGAACAGTCAGATCCTTCCTTCCCCTGAATCCCTATTCCCCGTTCCACACTGTCTTAACTCAGTACAAGATAGGATGTTTACTTTCTGAAGAAGTTGACTCAGAGCTGCTCTGGATACCAGGCAGAGCTGAGGACAGGGGTGACTCACTCCACAGAAAAGCAGAATTAAATGAAGCCATACATATTAAATCATGAGACCTATTTCCCTTGCATTATTCCTAAATTCGGGCTCTAGGTATTTCAAGAAAATTTCTCATGTGAAAGGTCCTAAAATGAACTAACAGAAGAGAGAGAAGTAGAGAGAGTAAGGGGGAAGGAAGAAGGAAGGGAGGGAGAAAAGGTGAGTGGGAGGGAGGAAGGGGAAAAAAAAGAAGAAATAGAGCTAATGCAGGGAACAGAAAAAGATGTCAAAATGAAAAAAAATCTCAAAAATTTTGACTCACATATGCTCAGGAGCATATGCTCAGGTCTTGGTAGGAGGTTCCCCACCAAGACCAGGTGTAAACCAAGATGCAGAAACACACCTGATAAGCAGGAGCTCCAACAAAAGGAGAAAACAGAGAATTCCCAAAATAAAGGTTAAGACAAAGGTTCCAGGATGATCCTTGTGTAGCAGCCTAGAGAGTAGTCAGACCATTCCAACACAGGAAGATGGAAGGCTCCAGAAGGGATGTCACCAAGAAAAACCAAAAACAAGGAACTGATCAATTACCTAACATGTCTGAGCCTTATGAACAAAATTTCAAAACTCTGATGGAACATATAGAGATGAAATGGGACAAGTATAGGGAAAAGTAAGCAACCTCAGAAAGAAGGGATTATAAACTCCAGGGGAAACAAAAGACTTTTGGAGGACTGTATGATAGAATATTTGATGTGACCTCCCTGGAGAAGAATTATACTTCCCTGCCCCATTGTGAATTGCAGTGGCCAGTGACATAGGGGCACAAGTGAATATATCACTTCCAGCCAGAAGTTTCAGGAGCCTTGTCTCTGTCCTTGAACAGATGAGCACTGGTCAAATAGAGGCTGCCTCTGGCCATATAAGTCCTGAGTAAAGACACCATGGAACAGAACTGCAGCTGACCTGCAATCAGAGAGGCGGTGTAAATAAGAAGTCAACCTTTATTGTCAGAGGCCACTGAGGTTTTGGTGGTAGTTTGTTAAATCAGCGTAATTAATCTCTCCTGACTGACAACATGGGGCACTGTGGACAACATATTAGACATTAAAATATATATGATAAATACTGAACAATGTGATAGAAACATACTGGGCAATTATTAAATGGCACGAAGTGACTAAAACTGAAAAACTAAGATCCGACAGTAGAAATATGCTCTTTAGAAATGTGGAATTAAGTAGCAGAACAACTTTTCTTAGGAAACAGCCATCAGAGTAACGGTAGATGGAGTAGGGACTTACTTCTGGTTTTTGTTATGAGCCTAGTAATTATTTGACTCTTAAACCATATACATTGTCACTTTGAAAAGAATAAAAATTACATTTCTTTTTAAAAAATTAATGGTAAGTGGAAGGAGGGAAAGGTTGTATTATTGTTGTTAACTTAACCAGTTTAACAGACTGACCATTTATCATCCAACAGGAATACTAATATTGAAAGTAGAACCTAATTTTTTATTAGGACTTTAAAAATATCTTTTTTTCAAGATATTAAATAAATTGAGGCACTGAAAGCTAAACGTTTTCATTCTACCTTCACACTGTCCACTGCAAAATAGAAATGTTAATGCTGCTTTCCTAGTATTTTGACTCAGCTACCTTCTTCCCTTGCCCTTACTGTGGTGTTATTTATAGTGTACTATTTATATGTAGTCAAATGTCACTAACTTGAATTTGAAAAATGACCTACATGTATATGGAATTATCTTGTGAAAGATTATCTTATATTTCCAAAAATAATTACTTTTAAAAATATCCTCTTACACTAGACCAAAAAGTCTTTTTTCCTCAGACGGCTTACAGTGATTAAAATTGATATTATGTATAGTTACATATATGTATATAGATAGATATATATCTTGCATTTATATCTGAATTATATATATGTATATAAATATAATTTATAGGTGAACAATGGATATATATCTGAACTATAGGTGAACAATGGATATATATCTGAACTATAGTTACAAATAATATAATTACTTGTAAATAAGTTATTTGTAAATAATTAGTTCTACTTAGTGGGTTTGTAGCTCTCTTCTGGTATTTTGTATGTCATTTGTTTATGTCTAAAGGATTTGGAACAGCAAAAGTAGAGCAGCCCAAATTTCTGTACAAAATTGGACAGAATAAATGTAGTAGGCTTTCCATAGTCTTTGGATTCTTTGGTGTGGCCACTTTGTGATCTGAGCTGTCTTCCTAGCCTCATTCCCAGCCATCCCCTATACCTAGCACTAATTCAGTCATTCAACAGAAACTTATTTGGGGATCCCCAATGTACTAGCATGCAGTTCCCTGAGTATATGATGTTGTCTTCCACTTAGCCTTTGCAAAGTGGTTTCCTGATCTAAAATGCTATTCCTCTCCTTCTATACCTTCTAAAAGCCAACTTGTCCATTAAGACACAAAGGGCACTTTCTTGGAGGAGCCTTTCCTTATCCCTAAAAGTTAAAAGCCCTTACTCCATACTCTCATAGTACCCTCTATATTTTTATCAGAGCCACTCTATTCTCTTTTATATTGTGAACCCCATTAAAGCAGAAACTTGGCCTACTTTACTCACTGGTATGTCACTACAGTGCCAGGCTCATTGTATACATTCAAATGGTCAAAATGGTATTGTCTGTTTTTCCTCAACATACCATGTGCCCCTTGGTGGATGGGTCTGTGATTTATTCACCTTTTTTTCCCTTTAGCATTTAGCACTTAGCATGAGACCCAGCCCATAGAAATTTTTTGAATAAATTAGCTTTTTCTGCACTATCATTAATCTTTAAAATATACACACCGAGGACTATATAGAAATATCCTCATGATACAGAGAGATGGGGTGCTGAGGATTATTCCTTTTGTGTTTTACTTAAATAGGAAAATTATATGTGAAAGACCTGAGACTGGAGGTTACAAATGCCAAATTACCTAGCTGTGCTCTGTGATCTTACCACCCTTAACCTAGATAAGCAAAATAGAA